TATATATATATATATATATATATATATATATATATTTTGGATTAATGTACTATGACGTGCCCCGCCACGGGAGTGTTCAAGCCCCTTGACCTACCCGCGTCGGTTACACCCCTCCCGGCTACACCGTGTATATCGGTATCCATTGTTCCATAAGAATGGCTTCCACCGGACCACCACCACCACCACCACAAAGAAACCTTGCATTACCTGGACCCAGCCGCCCTGAGCCAAAGAAGACACGACGTTCCTTAAGCTACGAAATTAAATATAAGATCATACAAGAGTTGGAGAAAGGAACAAGACAGGTTGATCTCGCGCGCCAGCATGGTGTTAATGAGTCTACGATCAGGACAATTAAGAAGGATGCAGCCAAGATAAAGGAGCACATGAACATCACAAAGTCTACAGGTGCTTCTATGATCAAGTATTGCCACAACCAGGTGCTTCTCAAGACGGAAAAATTACTTGAGCTTCAGTACTTGGCTCGTCAGGCGCGACGGAACATGGCGGTGGACACGCGCTCAGTTAAGGAGTACGCACATGAACTGTATGCTGCAGTGTCACGAAAGATGGGAATTGCAGAGCCTTTAATGCTTCCTCTGGGTGGTTACAGAGGTTTAAGAAGAGGAACAAGATCACCAATATTAACATTGGTGGTGAAGAAGCTAGGGCTGACCGTGTTGCGGCTATGGAATTTCCTCCATTTTTACGTGAGATTATGGAGGAAGGACAGTGCACTGACGACCAGGTGTTTAACATGAACGAATCTGGTCTTTTTTGGAAAAAGCTACCTTCCAAGACCTTCGTTGTGAAGAATGCCAGCAAGTGTCGGAGCCGGAAGTTGCAGAAGGAGCGCATCACCGTCCTGTTTACCACCAATGCCTCCGGTACCTGTAAGCACAAATTATCGGTGATCCACACAGCACGCACGCCGCACGCCTACAAGAGCATGGACATGACCAAGCTAAATGTCCACTGGCTGACAGCACGTAAGGCGTAGATGTTCTCGACTCTGTCCCTCTCCTGGTTTGATGACTGTTTCGTTCCTGACGTTAAGAAATTCTGTGAGCAACACAATGTTCCATTCAAGATTTTGTTGCTGCTTGACAACACACCAGGACACTCGCCCCTACTGTTAGATCGTCACCCCAACGTAAAGGTGGTCTTTTTCCCTCCCAACACTACGTCTATAACACAGCCCATGGACCAAGAATTGATCTGTAATGTGAAAGCTGCATTCTCTGCCAAGAAATCCAAGCTCCTGAACGACTACACCAACACCAAGGAAGAGTTGCGTAACCTGAGTGACACCGACACCGATAGAAAGAGCGAAGACGAAGAGGAACAACAGTTGGCAGATCAAGAAGTACTTGTGAGACAATTTTGGAGAACATTCAACGTCAAGAAAGCTGTGGACTTCTTGGTGGAGGCATGGGATCAGCTGTCTGTAGCAACTGTTCATCACGCATGGAGACATGTGTTGCAAGGTATTCCGGGTGGGAGGCAGAGTAAATCTGTGACTAGTGAGGTTCAGACTGTTGCAGTAGCAGTGGACCTTGCCAGAGAAGTTGCACAGAGTGTTACAGCTGCAGGCTTCTCCGAGACCACCAACGACGAGAACCTGGAGGTGATAAGGGATCCTGATGTGACTACCGACGAGATGGTAGATGATGATGACGTCAGTGAAGAGGCAGGTGGTGTGTTATCCCAAGAAGAACGCAAGTTATCCCATAGTAATGTAAGGGGTGCCATCGAGTGTATTGAGAATGTCAAGCTCCTCCTTTCCAACGACCCTGACGCTAACAGGTATGAAATCTTCACTACCCAGCTGTTGCAGACTATGGAGCCCTACATCAAGGTGTATCACGACAACATAAACACCAGCCGTCAGCAAAGCATAACCGAGTTCTTCGCCCGCAACCCACCACAGCCAGCCCAAGCCAGTGATAGTGACAGAGACAGTGATGATGACTTTGAGGGATTTGTCAGGGAGGTACTGTACTAGTAAGTGTGGATGACAGTGATGAAGACTCACCTGAGGGCCAGTAGCCTGCCCTCTGCCTCGGAACCAGCCTCCATTCCCATACGCCGACCCATCTCTTCTACTAACGTAAGTGTTAACCCTAACCTTGTTTTTTTCTAACCTAGCCTTCAGTATATTATTCTCTTATTGATTGTTCCCTTCTATATTATGTGTGTGTGAAAACCATCATAAAGTTAAGATGTTATTTTTACTAAAACGTACGTATTGTGTCGGGAAAAAGTGGAGTTTGGGGGTCGGCCCGGTCTCTATTTCAATTAATCCCATGTGTTATGTTGTTCACTTTACGTGTTTCTCACTTTACGCGGGCCGCCGTGGGTTCAATTGACTGCGTAAAGTGAGGCTTCACTGTATATAAGTATACTGTACAGTAGCTAAATCAACTATCTGTGCTCCAAAATTTTGTGTGACTAGTGACCGCCCTCATATCCCCCCAAATTTTGTCCATGGTCTCATATTGTTTCCCACAAAGTATGCACAAATAGATGTTTTTGCTACTGTACATACATTACCATAATAGGGCCACTCACTGCAGGTGCATTACCAATATATGGTAACTCAACTCAGTGTAGATTCACAGATGAGGAATTTAACATGGTTTGTATATAGAAATAAAATGTGAATTTATTTTCAACATGATGCTGATCAGACTCAGAGACTACTAAACCTATGAGGAGATCACTTTAAAGCTCTTACTTCATGGGAGACCACTTTTAAGACAATACCTTTGTGGGAGACCTCCTTGGAGACTTCTTGGGTGTTGCTATCTTAGATAATTTCTTGGGGACTGGTCCCTTTGATGGAGTTTTTGCTCTGGGACTTGTACTTGCTGCATTTCTCTGGTCAGCATTTCTCTTGGAAGCTTCTTGGTAATCATTCTGTTCACCAGCAAATTCCATCTTCTTTTTCTTAGGACTTACATCTGAATGCCTTTTCTTTTCCAAACTGAAATGCTCAGAGACCCCACGTTCTCTTTCACTGCTACCGTGAATTGGCTTATCATGTTCACGAATACAATTTCCACTTGTGTGAGTCTCATATTCCAGACCTCCTTTTTGTGTTTCATCATTTGTTTCCATCAGTTCTTTATCATCTGATGCACCAATATCTGATGAGAATGAATTGAGTCTCAAACACTCTATGCTGGACTGGATGTTCTGGGAGCTATCAGATTCAATGTCAATAGTGGTCTGGTTATTGTCGTGTTTATTACCGACTTCTGAAAGAAAGAAAAGACTATTAAACATCTTATTTAACCTGTAATATTAAACTGCCAGTTCCTATCTGAATATAAAAAATAATGAAAAACTGGCGCTACTATAGCATGCAGTCTACCAAGATTCAGGTTAGGTTTGGGAGATAGCACCTAATAACTAATGATATATTACTGCTATTAATTGTACAGAGAAATGTTGTCCAAGACCATATAGCTTCTACTGTACAGGTTCAGCTCCCCTATCTGGCATTCTTACATACAGCAACTCCCCCAAAACTCTCACAGTTTTTGGAAAATCATTTACCCAACAAACTCCAAAAGAATGGTGTGGTTGGATGGTAATGTGAATGAAAATTTGACTACCTGGCAAACCTCCCATTGAGCAGCAGCATCTAGCAGTTTTGTTGATTAGCCGCTAATGTTTTGGTGGTGAGCCAATCACTCCTGCCTCTCAGTTTATTTGTTTGAATATACTCTACAGTACAGCTGAGGATGGTGGTGAGCTTGTTTAAGTGTTACAGTTTTATTCTACCCTTAGTGGAAGTGGTCTATACAGTGCTATATAAATACAGTGTGTTAATATACAGATACAAGTAGCTAATACAGATACATAGTCTATCGATAACCTGTTACAAGTATACATAAGAAATATGACCCTCTAAATAACGGTAGTTTCCTATATCCGGCTCAGAGCTGGTCCCATGGTTACCTGTAGTACTTTATTCAGCCACTGAACAGTATGTACTTGCTCTCCTCTGCCAAATACTCCTTCACTCTAATCATAAACTAAATTTTGTATCCAGGTAGCCCAAAATAAATGTGTCAAGACTAAAAGTATAATAATTCCTAAAATTTACACCTGATCCCTACAAATTTTATATCCATATAATTTCGGCCTATAGACAGGCTTCTATAATTTTTTTTTAGAATTCTACATGGAATAATTTTCTTAAGTAAAAGAAACAATAAGGTATAACAGACTATACAATTATCAGGGGAACACATCAACTAGGCAGGGGGACACAACAACCTGCATCCTTTCTCTAAATACCTGTAGTTATAGAGAAGGAATGGCAACAAGAATAGATCAATGGTCTTAAACTGATAACAAATCATATAAACTAATCAAATCCAACTTAACTTATCTAACATATCAAAGTAAATACAGTATTCTAATATCATTAGGTAGCAGGGATGGAAAAAATCTGGACTTTTTTAAAAGAAAATTAAAAATTTTTTTTTAGTTTACATCAAATTTTATTTATTCATCATTTACTGGTATATGAAAGTACTGTATGATATTTTATCCATACGACAATTTTTTATTTTAATTACAAGTCTTTTTTTTAGTCTTTCTATATACAGAACGATCATAAATCTTCGTTCGTTTCAGTGCAACAATCGAGATGCTCAGTCCGTGTGTATTCTCATGTCCATAAAAATACGTAAAATTACACCATGACATCTCAAGACAGCTTGCTTTCAAAGTAGTAGAAATTATTTCTGCTTAATATGCTGGGGGGGTCTGGAGGAAGTTAGGTACCGGTAGGTTTCTTTGGTTAGGTAATGTTCTACAGTGAGTTCTGCTATAACGCGTGTTTTGATAACGCAAATTTGCTCTAACGCGATTTATGAATTAGGAACGATATTTGTATAACGCGAACGCTTGTTTGCTATAACGCAATTTTTGCTTACTATTTCTCCAATTTTGTGGTATTAACTGTGAATATGGTAAAGAAGAATATCTCCAAGAAGCGTTCTGGTGATAGAATTCCCGGTGATGATCGTAAAAGAAAGGATATAACACTTGAAGAGAAGCTCGATTTTATCAACCTCAAAATCACCCTTCTCCCCCATCAAGTTACATTCATATTTTTTCAAGGTAAAGTGTTACATTTACTGTATGATTTCATTATTAGATATGAATGTAACATTTATTTAGACTGTGCTATCCTTTGTGTTAGGCTAACTACTAAATTTTTTCGATTTCGAGTAATCTGCACCTAACCCTATTTTCTCCATAAGCCCTGTTATTTCTATTACGCGATTTTCTATAACACGATATTTTACAAGAACACAATTATCGCGTTATAGCAGAACTACCTGTATTAGGTTCTGGGAAAAAATGAACAACATTGCACAACTTTTTCTGGTGTTAGCCGTCTGCTCCATCTTTACCATTAAAACTACTAAAGAGTGAAACTCCGATGCGGTGCGATGATTTTTATTTAATTTTTTTTTGCAGTGGCCAAATTACTGGTCACAGCAAAAACTAGCCTTACAAGCAGTTTTAGGCTACTTTGCCAGTCCATTGTTATGTAATAGAAGTATTTTAATTATATAATAGTATTTATTGTATTATCAATCATGTATTACTAGTTATCCAAACCAACTTATCCTACCCTACCTTACCTAATTTCCTAACCGCCCCGAGGCATATTAAATATCTCTGTTCTAGGTTGCGAGGGAAATGTCCTGCCATTTCTCGCCATTCCTTAGAATTTTCCTCATACAGTGCTACAGTAGTTTTCTGATTCTCAACTCACAATATCTCAGTTATGGGTAAAATGTGCTTAAAGTGTCACAGAAGACAACCGTGTTGTTTTGTCAGAAATTATCATTACACACAAAAAACCTATATCCAATTATGTCTTCTACTATAAACTGACCTACAACTCAGCCTCACCTGCTCCGAGTTCTACTGGGTGGCAAATCAGCTACGCAATTACATGCCACCTCCATGGAAATTATTCCTCAATATGCCACATTTAGGATAATGTATATATCTAAAGAAATATTTTTTTGTCTACATAAATATCATCATAAGTCCGGGGGATTCCGACCTACCCCCACCCCTCGCTAGGAAGTTAGGTAAGGATAGGCAGGTTTCTTTGGTTGGTTAGGTCAGGTTTTATTAGGTTCTATTAAATTTTGCCTCTTATAAAATACTTACTACAATATAATGTTAAGAAAATTCGTAGAAAAAAATAAACCAAACCAAACAACTCCTTCTGGTGGTAGTGCTGTTCTCAGATATTACCCCAAAAAACTGTACTGTATCTAATTATGGCCTTTACTAAAAATTGACCTACTTAGCTACATATTTCCTTAAATTTTACCACCAAAACATCTAGGTATTATTGCAGTTTCACTCCCAATTGGGTTATAGCAATTTTGGGTCCACCATGAGTTATATCTCGTCAATTGCAAAAACTCTTTCCGCCGCAAATGGATAATAACCGATATGATAAATTCACGTAGGAAACTCGCGTAAAATATCACGCGGCCTCTAGGGTTGATGTTACCTCTACAAACTCTCTGAGATTGTGACTATGAGAGACATGTAACGCCCCCCCGAGTTAAAATGTTACCATCAGAGACAACTGGCAGGCATTAAAAAAACAATCTCAGAGCTTCAAAGCTTTGACTGCATTGTCTTCGACCAATCAGCCATTAATATGGCCCAAAGAAGAATACGATTTAGGTTGGGTTAGCTTCTGTATTTGCTCTCCCCCCCCCCACCCAAAAACCCCAAATTCCCTCGGGTTCCCCAAGATTGTTTGGGGAGGGGGAGGACATCAAAAAATGACTCAAATGAATCATATACATACAGGTATACCAAATACCATGGGGAAAACCTAGACTTCTGTTCAAAAAACAATTGGTAGTGAAATTGCAATTTTACCATCATTTATGCATTGCTCACCTTCACTTGTTGATGGCATGAACATATCCACTAATGAAACCTGACGTAACTTCTTCTTTGGTGGATATTCTGACATCACTTGATAATATCAATAAGAAATGCTGGTCACCACAAATGCTTTGCAGTTTTCCAATAGCAAATTGTCAACTGATGAGTCATAAGCAAGAGATAAACCTGTAAGTTAGGGAGGACCGACCAAAGTTATCTAAACATTAATTCATCCCTACTGTATACAAACCCACATAAAATTAAACTTTGAATCACCAGATAGGTTCAGGCTGAGTAAACATGCATTGTTTCTCCATTTTAAAACTATAGTATTAGTATAGTATATGCCAACGACGCGAAAAATTTCACTGTAGAACATTAAAGGACATTACTACGTATATTCCCTTTTCAATTATTTATCAAGAACTGCAAATTCATTTCTCTCCATACTTTACAGCAGTTTTTTCCAGGTCTCGTTCCCAGTAACTATGGAGACAATCTGTCCCTGCCAAGTCGCCAGGAAGGAATGTGTTGTGTTCTTAGTTGTTGTGAGGCAAGGTACAATATACTATACAGTATATCTCCCACGGCCCCATATCACATAAAACAGATAGATAGATACATATTTATTCAGTGAAATCGCTTCATAATCTTATACTGATTCAGCATGTATATAAACAGTGCAGGTATATATATATGGGCAGTACATATTTACAGGCGATGTGCATAAACTACCAGAAAACAAGTAATGGTAAACAATAAGTCAATTACATCACAGTTAATCATATTCAACGTAAAATAATATGATACTAACTAAATTAAAATTGGGGAAAACCAATTTTATTTATGGACAGCTTAGTACGCTGAGGAAGATGTACCTATCCTAACTAATAACTAGTTACAGTTACGAGTTGAGAAAGATTGTAAATATAAATGTTTACTCTAAGTATATATATTCCTAATTAGAGTAGGTATATAGATTTTCGTTTACAAGTTTATGTTAACATTACATAGATTGGCATTAAAAAGACCGGAATTATTAAAATACCCCACTGTACATAAAAGATTAGACGACATACAGATGGAAATGAATGACATTACATCATCCTTTTTTTCCTTTTATCCTCTTCGCCACTGATCGGCTTCTTTAAGGTTTTGTGTGTGTGTGTGTGTGTGCAATAATCCGTACTTACCCATCACCAAGAAATTTCTAATCGCCGTAGAGTAGGAGACTGCCTTGTAATATAAAGCAGGTTCACGTTTAATGGTGTTTGTTGTAATGCGCCTTCTCATGTCGCTCAGCCGCTTATATTATCGGTCTAGGAAATGTCTACAGGGCTGGCGAAAGATGAGGCAATATTTATTTTAATAATTATAAAATATTACATCTCTGATAAGATTATAATATCATATCAATGCATTGATCGGGGAAATTATAGTATGGCTACCAAAATATGAGATGTAATTTGATACAAGTAATAAACACAAACGTACAGTAGTAAGGCTGGCGGAACGTGAGGCAACTTAGTTGATAGCCATAAAGGAAACCCCACTTTGATAAATGGCATAACGTTGGTACAAATTTGCAGAATACTTTCTCTTGTTTGATGTTTTTGTTTTACAATGGCAAACCACCAACAAATGAAGATCAATATTCAACATTAAAATCCACATATTTATTATATTTATTCAGCAATGATATGTAGGTGTTTCATTTTTATTTGTTTAACAAAATATTTACTCCTCTTGTCAATGAAGTACAAAATGCTTTCTAGAATGTATTGCAAATTAAGTAATTACTAGCGTCGACTGGAGTGATTTGGTCCGAGCAATAGCCCGGGGTAATTCGATTTTCGTTAAATAAATAAGAAAAAATAAAGATTCATTCCAATTCTAACTTCACAATGTAACAGAACAACCAATTCCATATTTACAATGTAAATGTGAATGTAAATTCAATGTTTCTGAAGATTGAGGAACGAAAAAAAAGAAGACCGAAATAGCACAAAAAGTGCAGGCGAACTTTTTTTTTTTTTACGGAAATCGCGGTTTTGGCAAACTGATGGCACGCAAAAATGAATGGTGCTGTCATTACGAAAGTACGTCATGTGTAGTTTAATTCCTCTAATTTAATGTGGAACTGTCAGAAAAAAAATGAGCTCTCGTAGTTTTTGTAAATTTGGTAATCATCGCCCCACAAGGGGTCACAGCTCAAGGTCCAGAAAACTGTGAGGGGTAGCTTTTTCGTTGTGAAAGTTGTGAACTCTTGGAACAATCTACCAGAGTGTGAGCTCTTTCAAGACCAGACTTGACAAGCACTGGAGAAGGTTCAGATACATTCAGCAGCCAGTGCATGCCCAGTACTTGCCAACAGTGCGTAACAGAGACGTGGCCGATCACCCAAGCGGCTAACGAGCCGATCAGTGGTGAAGAGGATAAAAGTAAAAAGAATAAAGATTCAGACCATTGTCACCCCGGTGAGAAAAAGGTCACCGGGGTTCTGGTTTCTGTATGGTCCACCTCTCTATTTCACATTTGTTTTATGTTTATGCGTAACAGAGACGTGACCGATCGCCCGAGCGGCTATCAAGCCGATCAGTTGCGAAGAGGATAAAAGTAAAAATAACGATGTGTATTCAAACAAAATAATCTCAAGGTAGTCAGAGCCATATTTGACTGAGAAAGCAGTGTCTAAGTTTTCTATGGTGATGCGTCACAGAAAATGGTAATCACTTCGAAGGGATAATTCGTATAATGTATGATTTTTTTTTTAACGAATCACACCGGTGTCCGGGCATATACAGTAATCTTAAGTCTGTATATAGATAGTATTAAGGGAGAATTTAATTTGATCCATATACTATGTCAAAGGGAAATGATCTTATTTACGTAACTACAAATTTACCTGGTATCTGCAGAACTATACAAATTGCCTGGTATCTTAACATATTTATATGGACTATATAATTTAGTATCTTTGTTTGGAAAATATACACATTTCCTAATATATAACTTACCCACGAAAAAAACCCTTCAATTTGATTTAATCCGGATATAAAAATCATCTATAATATAAATATACAAATTACCTATGTTAATGCAAATTCACTAAAATGTTAATATATACAGGTCCACTGTAAACGCCTTAGTTAAGGACGTTCTGTTACGGGCAAGTCGAAGGGAATGATTGAAATCCGTCTTTTGACGCATTCAATATTTATTGATGTGGTCAAAACCTGCAGAGGAGAAGGCGTTCATAATATTACAAGGTGATCCATCTGATACATAATTAGTTAGTCTCACACAATTTTATCTTAATTACAATTTATTAAACATACTGACATAACACAAAGTTCATAACTCTACTAATCTCAGCTTCGCTTCACTCTGCATTGTCTTATTATTCCAGCTTAAGCAGAAACGAGTAGGCGTAATTATTCAACAATATTTCAGTACCGAGGGGTATGTCATCACTTAGGCTGTACTTACAAGTGCGGGTCAATGCAGATCAGTATGGTGTTCCTAGAGAAAACAGTATTGCGTAAATCGTCCCAGCACAAATTCTCGGACAGAAGGCTGGTCTTCACAGCATCACTAGAGAGGGCGATCTGTCTCATGGAGGGGCGGGCAGCCACCGCCACTGGTCTAAGACAGTCCACTCAGCAGAACCAGGACTTGTCTGTAAACACTTCTACATCTGGCGAGGTCACAGGTCGAAAGATTTAATGGCATCACACGCCAGCACTGTAGCTGAAGCCAGCGGCGATAACACTCCCGGCGTTGGGCAATCGCCCAAGATTTACGGTGTGGCGTGTTCAATAGGGTATACACGGGTCACTGGCCTTCGGAACTCTTTAGATACGGTTCGCACAAGCACCTGGCGCACTAGACCATTGGCTCCCGGGACTGTTGTCGTGACCCTGCCCAATGGCCGTTTGTTGAGAGGAAGATCTTCTCCGGTGACGAAGACAAGGTCGCCTTTCTGGAGATTACAGGTTGGTTCTATGTACCTCTGTCTTTTGCGGAGTAGTGGAAGGTACTTCCTCACCCAGCGTTTCCAGAAGCGGTCTGCTAGGAACTGCACGTGCCGCCACCGTCGTTGACATAAGTCTTTCAGAAGACATCCTCCCAATGGCAGATCAGCATGTGGGCCACCGTGGAGAATGTGGGCTGGTGTAAACGCTTCCAGGTCTCTCATGTCGCTCGACGCAGGTGTGATGGTTCGATTATTTATTATTGTTTCCACTTCACAAATAGCATCTGCAGTCGGTATTCATCCAGGACTTGTGTCCCCAGAATCGTTCTGAGAACCTTCTGACTGTTCGAATTTGCCATTCCCTAACTCCAAACGTCGTGCTGCTTCCCTTTCTTCCTCCTTTGTGAAATACGCCTCCAGCATTTGTCACAGTTCGTCGCACTTCTGCCAACATGTTGAACCCGGGATTCTGGTCAGGTGCTGAGCATTCAGGCTCAGGCAGAGGGTGGCTCCCTTCAGCTTCTGTTGCCGTAAAGTCGCGGTTGTTCAGCTCTGGGGGTACAACTTCTACCTCTGGGTCTCGGTCACCTTTGTCCTTGTTCACCTTTCCCCTTCGTTGCTCTGGATCCATTTCCACAACCTCTTGTCCTTTTATTGATATTCATTTGCAGCTCCGGTTAGGTCTCAAAGTTTGTTCGGTGAACCACTGCTCACCGCCTGCATTTGGTGGTGCAGCTCGCTGCTTGTATTTATGTTTGATGATAGCAGGTCACTGTTGGTTGCTCGTGGTGTTACAAGTGGCACTTCACTGCTGGCTGCTTATGGTGTTACAAGTGGCAGGTCACTGCCGGTTGCTTACGGTGTTACAAGTAGCATTTCACTGCCGGTTGTTTACGGTGGTACAAGTAAATTTAATCACGCTTACCGTGTACTTCGTCTAGTTGGTTATTTGTTACCTTAAAACCGGTGGTAATGAATCAATTTTCCTTTCCTTCATAATCTCAGTAGCGGGCGGCAGCTCTGCCTGTACGAAAAGGAACACTCGCAACCTGTGGTCCACACTCTATGTCCCGACCAGTGCTGCTGTAATGTATGTTTCCAATTTAAGGGTACAAGTATGCAATACCAAAGGAGGACATGAAATTCAGATATCATTCGACGATTTCCTTATTTTACGTAAGGTTAGTAACATATTAATTCGTTGCTGATGCAGTAGAAAAGGCGATGAATTTGACAGGTCAACGGATATGGTCTTTCTGGTACCATCGTGTAGTGAAAGCAGAAGGATTGTACACTGATTAGTACTTCTGAGGTTTTCGTCTGGCAACCACTATGTAAGGCTCCTTATATCATCGGCGAATATCGTCTCACATTTGGTCTAATTGTATTTGTTATGATAAATTAGTTTATTTACTTCCTTTGGATAAGTGTTCCATGCACCAGTTTCGTACCGTTTCGTACAGAAAACGGACACTGGTATCGTTCAAGAAAATCTACTTAATATTTCTTAATACACACACGTGTATTTACGACCTTGGATCACGGTTATGTCAAACTGTAACAAATTAACTCC